AAAATGTAATTATTTAATTTTAGTGACAATAAATTGTTTTAGACAGTAATTGCTCAAGTAGTTCAAAGATTTTTTTTCCATTTATAAAACAATAAAACAATGTCAACCACATGGAAAAAGTTGTTTTCTTCTTGTTTGGTATATCTGGGGACATGCATTTAATTAGTAGCTGTTTTAAGTTTTTTCAAATGTAGTTTCTGAAATGCTGGGCTAGAACATAGTCCTTTTAGGTACATCACTTAAAGTATGATCTAATCGTTTTAGTCAACTTGGATTTAGTAGACCAGGGTTGAAGAAGTATTAATATCATAGGGCTTGTATCTAGAATCTAAATTTCTACCATTAGACAACTGATAATGGAAAATAAATGCTGTGAAATTCTTCTTTTGATCTGATGAAAGAATGGTCTTATGTGAGTATTTATCTTTGAAAATTAGTTCATCTTTAAAAATAAATTAACTTCTGAAAGAAACTCTTCCTGGGGACTATTGAATCAATTAGGATAAGGAATCAAGATTGAGTTAAAAGTAGTCCATTCCCAATGAGCCACAGAAATTCAGTTATAAGAGATTAGATATTCTTGAAGAAATAAATGACTAGATCTTAAAGTACACAGGATCCTAGAAGTCAGAAGATATCTTTTTTTTGTTATTAATCTTCATCAGAGGATATTTTTCCATTGATTGTTTTTAGAGAGAGTGGAAGGCAAGGGAGGAGGCAGAGAGCGAGAGAGAAACATCAATGTGAAAGAGACACATAGAATGGTTGCCTCCCATTTGCGCCTCGACCAGGATCAGGGATTGAGCCTGCAAATCAGGTATGTGTGCCATTGACTAGAATCGAACCTGGGACGCTTTAGTCCATAGGCCAACGCTTTATCGGCTAGGGTAGAAGATATCTTTTTAGAGCTGCATTTTTGGGTGAAATATTTTCTTCAGTTTTCAACTTAATATCAATTGCAATCTGATTCCTCATCCAAAAATCAACATTTTAGCAAAAAAAAATCTTGGATAGCTAAACATAAATTCCCCCACAGAGATTTATTATAACCATAATCATGTCCTTGTTTTTAAACTCAGTATGCATTATTTAATTTTAGTAACTTTTCAGTTGCCTGCAATAAAGCTTAATTTGAGGTGTGGTCTCAATCCCTTTGCCAGGAATTTAGTGTCACAGTCATATTCATTATACCAAGTCATGCAATGTTAAGTCTTCTGGGAATAGTTAATGCTGATTCCACATTGTCTAAAATCTATCCAGAGAAAGTTAAAGTAATTTTTTTTTTCTCCACAGGGAAAATTAATAATATTGTACATTCTTTTGTTCTCAGGAGGTTAATATTGAAACTGGTCAATTATTTTCTCCATATAAAAATATTTTCCCTCTAATTTAGTTATTATAGTTAGACATATTATGTATAAACACTTAGAAATAATAATTTGAGGTTCAGAATGAAATTTGAATTTATGTAAGATTTTTAAATGAAATATTTAAAGCAGAAAATTAGAGAGAATAGGATACATGTACCAAGAAATTTTAATAGATGTGAACATTTACATATGTGCTTCACTTATTACATAATAAACAACACAGATGTGGTTCAAACCCTCTTTTCATTCCTCCCTGATCACATTTCTCCCTTTTATCAGATTTTTAAACCTCTCTTTCAAATTGCTTTAATAATATGGTTTCTTATGTGGCTTTTTATTTTTAAATTGTGGTTTGAAATCCTCTGGATGTTTTATATTGTGGCCTTTACATGTGTCTAGGCTGTCACATTTTTGTACACTGATGTTTTTCCTTTTTCGGGAGGCATTGTGAGCTCTAAAAGATTGATTATTTTGATTCATTTGGGTCACCTCTTCATTTCTTTTATTTTATTTCCCCTATAACATCCTTAGATAGTGGGCAAAATTTTTGTTGCTTTCCAAATTCATTAGGCAACATTTTTCTTCAATCTCCATGGGTTGTGAAGTTGTTTAAGGACTTCTGAAATGGTAGCATAAGGAGCTTCCCAGATCTGCTCTGCAGGAAAACAACCATAACTTTGGAAAATTATCAGAAAAAAAGTCAAGAACTTACACAGCCTTTGAAAATCATACTGAAGACTTAAAAATGTAAAAACATCTATTCAAAAACATCTACTAAATCTCAGTAAGAACAGCCAGTTTGATATAATTGAGCAATGTGATTTGTTCCTTCCTCCTTCCCCTTCACTCTCATCCTCAAGTCAGGACGATGGAAGATCCACTCTGGGAAGATGTGGCCAAGAAGGTGGGGCTCCCTCTCCCCTGAGCTCTCAGTCTATGATTTTGGTGTCTTCCCAGGAGAAGTAGGCCACCTGAATTTCTACCTCCACCTCCCACCCAGCTCTGTGCAGCAGAAGCTAAATTCCCATTGAGTGCAGCCAAAATGTCAATGAGTCCCTCCATCCTCTTGGCCTCCATTCATAGGTTGTAGAGTCTACACCAAGATTGGCAGGCCAAGAATTTTAGGGCTCCAATTGCTCAAGTCCCTGATCCTTTCTAGGGCAGGATTTTAATTTTAAGAGGCAAGCTTAAGAGAGCAGAGGATACTCAAAAAGCAGGAGTGTTTCTGGGAGAGAATGTGATCACTAACCTGACCCCAGCTCAGAACAGTGACTCAGAGATTCTGCCCAGGAAATGAGGCAGCACGAAGAAAAGAGAGCTCTGGAGATGTTCTTTAAGAAGCGAAGTTTAATTGAAACAGAGCACGGGTAAATTAAAGTCTAAGGATGCTGCAGAAAACAATGGAGATTTTAGCAGTAAGCAATTAACAGAAGGCTGGGAGCTCCATGAAAGCAAAATGCTAAACCACAGGCCAACTAGTTTACTGGAGAGTACCGTGGAAAGAGACTGCCAAAAAGAGCACTTCTGGGGTCAGAACTAACCTCAAAAGTTAGTTTAGCCCAGCTGGTGTGGCTCCGTGGTTGAGCATCGACCCATGAACCAGGAGATCATGGTTCAATTCCTGGTCAGGGCACATGCCTGTGTTGCAGGCTCGATCCCCGGTGGGGGGCTTGTGTCTCTCTCATTGATGTTTCTATCTCCCTCTCCCTCTCTCTTCTCCTCTCTTCTAAAATAAATTTAAAAATATATTTTTTAAAAGTTGACCTTAAAAGGTACCCCAGCAGAGAAGTTCAAATACATTTGAATCAGATTGTGAAATAACTGATGCTCCAAGGAATCATTGAAAACAACAGGGCAGTCAGCTATAAGCTAGTGGAAGAGAAGGGCTGGGTGTGATACACAGGCAGAATGCTAAGCAGAGAGATCAGGAGAGTCCGTCAAGAGAGCCCAGTTAAAATCACTACAATCCTAGGATGACTGTGCCCTTGACTGACCAAGGCTGTTCTCTGTAGGGGTTAACATCAGAGAGGTCACTCTGCCTGTGAATGGACGTCACTAAAATAGTCTAGCCAAGCTGCTAAACAAATAAACAAGCAAAAGTTAGCAGCAAAGAGGCCTCACTGGTGGGGATCAGTATCCAGAGCTTACAGTCAGGGAGGCATGCTTCTCACATCTCCTTTTAGCACCTGCTGGAGGGCGCACAGCTGGCTGAGGGCCCAAGGCTTCCTCTCTGGGCCATTCCTGCCTCCCTGCAGAGGCCTAGCTTCCCCAGGTTGCTCCGGTCAGCAACTGGAACAGGGAGGGTGCTACCGAGGACCAGTCTGAAACCCCTCTCCAATGGGCCACTTTTCTGCGGGGGGGCTTGTAGGTTTGACTGTTACTTTTTAATTTTTAAATTTCTATTGATTTCAGAGAGGAAGGGAGGGGGAGAGACAGATAGAAACATAATGATGAGAGAGAATCATTGATCGGCTGCCTCCTGCACGCCCCCACACTGGGGATTGAGCCCGCAACCTGGGTATGTGCTCCGACAAGGAAGCGAACCATGACCTCCTGGTTCATAGTTGAGACTCAACCACTGAGCCACACCAGCTGGGCTACTTGTTTTTAGAAATGCTCTGCAGTTGAGTCTATTTCTAATCAGGCATTCCTTCTCTATCCCCTTTCATCAGTACCAGACCTACTTCTTGGTCCTACCCTCTCTCTGCCTGCTCTAGCTTTCTCTTCCTTTATCTTTCTCAGCTTTCCCCCAATAAATTACTACAGGGCTCATCCTGCTTGGTATTTGTTTCTTATAAGAGTGAACTAATACACCACATTCTTATGTCCCTATAACATGTTTAAACCTAAGGGGGGTTGGGGGGTGGCTGGTATGGCTCAGTGGTTGAGAATCGACCTATGAACCAGGAGGTCACTGTTTGATTCCCAGTTAGGGCACATGCCTGGGTTGCAAGCTCAATCCCCAGTAGGGGGCATGCAGGAGGTAGGTGATCGATCAATGATTCTCTCTTATCATTGATATTTCTCTCTCTCTCTCCCTCTCCATTCCTCTCTGAAATTAATAAAAATATATTTACAAAAAAATAACTAAAGGTGGAAAAATCCTCATCAAGATAACTGGCAGATAAAGGATCATTAATAAAATAAGAGCCTATTCTGACAGTTAAGTCTCTTAATACGGTTAATAAACATTTTAAAAATACATTGATTGGTGAATTGTAAAGTATCCAGGACATCTGAAAAATCAATATGCCTGTTTTCATGCAAATATGGTTATTTGCAAAAGCTGATTAGATATGTGTAACCTAAAATTTCACCATTTCAGTGAGACTTGCTGAAGAGAAAAAGTAGCCTTAATGCTAAAGTACCTTTTAATGCTGCTCAGTCAAGAAAGACTTAAGATTTCATTATGTCGAAATGTGTTTTCTAAAAACACAGATTATTTCTCTCTGCCCCAAAGTTGCATGGCGATCAAATGAAACAAATGTGAGGCTGAGATCAAGTGAAGGAGTCAGGAGCTTGCTGTCTTGGCAACAGTGTCCTTCGGTGCTTTTAATAGTATAAATAGCACAGTGTAGACTTATCAAGGATGGCAGTTGCAAAGCAACATCATTACCTTAGCATTTCCATATATTAGGAACCAATGTGTGTCTCCTCATATCATGTGACTATTCCGGCCCATATGTGCCAGGCAAACCTTTAATAAAATAAAGGAGATTAATTTAAGAACAAATTTTAAAAAGAAGAGATATCATCAAATTTTGTTCTATGAATGTGGACAATTTTGCTATTTAGCAAACTATTCCTTTCTTTGACCACATACATATGTACAATAGGGAGTACATTATTTGTTATATAATGTCACTTCTCATTGCTATTGCTTGTTCCTAAGTCATTCATTAGTGGTAAATTGTGTCTTTGAAAGATATTATGTACTTCCCTGCACATCCAAATTACTACTACTTAGACACTAAGCAGAATTGTCTGAATGTTCTTTTCAAAGGGCAACTTTACATAGAATCAATTTAATTAAATTGATTGAATAGGGCTACAAATGAGCATGTAAAATAAAGCCTTGAATAACATGCCCTGCAAATGTGAATGCTCTGGCAGCTTCTTCAAATATCATAGCAACTGAATTGTGAAAGGAAAATCGTTTTTAAAATATATCAAGTTGCACATTTGTCATCTAAATTAAATATGCTGCAAAAGATTTCATGCAACTTTCTAAGTTTATTCTGTAAGTATAAACTCGTTTTGGATGACAGACATCTAGTTGCTTTGATATATTACTATAATTATAAAAGCACAAGAGTTAACTTTAAAGTGTATGGCAATAAATTTTTAAAAGCACAAATAAAAATATTATATTATGGAGAGAACTAATGAGAATCCCAGGTTGATATCTTAATCTCTTAGGGGACATTCATTTTAATATCATTAAGACTCATGTAAGTGAGATAGTAACATACAGGAAACACATTTTTGCTTACTCAAATATTAATTATAATAATAGATAACATTTTAATTGCCTGCTTTTCATTGAAATGCCAAGATTTGTGAAAAATGAACTACTATGTAAATAAATTTTAGTTTAATAAATATTTTAAAAATGAATTATTTACACAAGTAATTTTTTGTCTTTAAATATGGCCTAAACATTTTTGTAACTGAAAAATAAGATTAAAATCTCCATGTTCATATAATTTTATATGTACATATGAAATTAACATAAATGCAGAATTATTGTATGCAAACATCTATAATGATGAGAAATAATTCTGGGAAACAATATCTTATATCAAAATTTTATTAGTAATGTTAACCTAAAAATTTTTTCTGTTTTCCCTTAGGCTCAACATTTTTTAAAAAACTCAATTAACTGCTAAATTCCTGTAATTACAAAGGACAAAATGAATTTCATAAAAAAGCTATTTATATCTCTCTCCAGAGTCAATGGTAAAAGTCCAAATGAGCTAATAAGATTACATATAATATTTTTCTAAAAACAGACATGTTCTTCTAAACCTTATATTTTTATTTTATTTTTCAATTAGAGTTGACATACAATACGAGCTAATAAGATTACATATAATATTTTTCTAAAAACACACATGTTCTTCTAAACCTTATATTTTTACTTTATTTTTCAATTAGAGTTGATATACAATACTATGTTAGTTTCAGGGGTACAACATAGTGATTAGACATTTATGTATCTTATGGAGTAATTACCCTAATAAGTCTAGTACCCATCTGACATGATAGTTTTGTTTTAAAGAACCTTTATCCATGTGGTTTCAAACTTTACAACTTATTTTTTGTTTTGTTTTAAAGAACCTTTATCCATGTGGTTTCAAACTTTACAATTTATTTTTCATTCATCTACCAAAAATATAATTGTAAAAAATAGGCATCTCACATCAATTCATAATGAATGATTTGGCTTTTGAAAAAGAACAACAACAAAAAATGTTTGCCTTTCATGAATTTTTACATTGAACTAAACAGATCAATATTATTTGAACTAAATAAAAATTTTGTTCAAATAATATTGATAAATGTTATTTATAAATGTATCTCTGAAATAAATGTACCTCTTTTGTGTTCTCTTGGATACATTCAGGGTTTTATTTGCTGTACTTTTAAAATAAATGGATATCACTCTCTCCTATTAATGTCAGCATGTTATGAAGTTTCATTTTGCTGGGGATAGAGTCTTATTTTGCTTGAGGCTTATTTGGCCACTTTGATCAGCAGCAGTTGTTGCATTATCTGGGATTAGGTTTCACCTGCACCAATTCATCTCTCTCACCATCCTCAATTCCTGGGAAGGTAAATAAACTTAAAACCAGTGGAGGAGACAACGTAGGGCATAGAGGGCAAAATAAATACAGCATCTAACTATGTAATAACCAGCAGCCACTAAAACACAATTTGTTATTTCAGTGCATTAAATAGAAAATATAAGAAAATACGCAACTGTGTATTTTGGATAAAACTAGCAGATTAGAAACTTAACAGAAAGTAAAGCAAACAGGCTTTTTATAGGGAGTAATTAGCATAATGCAAAGAGAACATGACCTTTAGGAAGAATTCTAAACCTAGGGTCTCCCTCACTCCATTCTATGTTGAATTTTTTCAATTCCTTTAGAAGCAATGCCATAAATGATGGCTTGATGTGTCTGTCAACCCAGAGAAGCCTATTTATTTATTTATTTATAAAATATTTTTTTATTATTTCAGAGAGGAAGGGAGAAGGAGAGAGAGAGATTGAAACATCATTGATGAGAGAGAATCAGGGATTGGCTGCCTCCTGCACACCCCACACTGGGGATTGAGAATGCAACTCGGTATGTGCCTTGACCTGGAATCAAACCATAACCTCCTGGTTCATAGGGCAATGCTCAACCACTGAGCCACACCTGCTGGGCCAGAGAAGCCAATTTAATCTACACTGTGACTTTTAGGATCCTATTGGGCTAGAGCATCATATATCTGGACAATGCTCATCATAAAGGTGCTCCTTTGAGATAAGTTCATTAAAAATGAAAATATTCCATGAGTAATTGATATCCTATGACAGATGGCAAAAAAGACAAAACAAAGAAGCAACTAAAAAAGAACCAAAAACAACAACAAATCAGACAAATAGGAACAGAACATATCTAAGAACATGAGGTAATAACAATCCTATATAATAAAAGCCTAATATGCTAAGTGTCATTTGATCATTTGACCTGTCGCTATGATGTGCACTGACCAACAGGGGGCAGACGCTCTGTCTGGTAGGTTAGCTTGTTGCTGGGGTCCCACAGATCAGGACTGGGCAAGATGGGCTGGACATGCCCTGGAGCCCAATCGCAGTCCCTCCCCAGCCTCTAAAATATTTCTTCTAATTAATTTCTATTTAATGTGCAAGAATCCATACACTAGGCCTCCAGTCTGAAATAAATGATAACAAAGGTGGTTACTTTCTGAGTCACCTCAGTTGAGGAAGCTTTTCCTCCCTTGTTTGCCATTCTACTTACAATAAACAGGCCCCTCTAAATGGTATTCATTAGGCTCACACTTTCATATCTTACGATGCAAAATTCTATCATCAAATTAATGTTGCTTTACTTGTGTATTTCCCCCATTATTTTATGACCGAATTAAAATCAGGGACCAGATCTTTCTAATTTCTAACACAGCAATTGCTCAAAACATCCTCAATAATGGAGTCTTTCTTATGTTTTAAAATAGCATGTTTATGGATATTTACAATTCCCAAGATTCCTGATTTCATATTTTATATTTAATAATTTGCTAAGGTTATTTTAGGACCAAATTTATTAACATGTGTGTGTCTGATGCCTCTGCTCTCCTCTCCCCTACTCCTATGCTCCTAAAACACAGACACACAGGACACACACAGACATACACACAGATACACACACACATACACACAAGGACATACAGACACACACAGATACACACACAGACACACACAAGGACACACAGACACACATGCACATGTACACACACACAAAGGAAAATTTTTTTTAATCAATCTGGTTCCTTAGCCAGGACACCTAACTCTATCCACATTATAAAGGAACTGGAAAGTGAAGAAAGAGTAGGAAGTTCAGGCTGGGAAAGAATAAATAAAAGAAAAAAGTACTTGGAGAATTATTGTTGTGGGTTTTGACTTAGTCTTACTGACCTTTTCCCAGAAGCACAATTTAAGTATTGGAGTGCCTCTTCAATCACATTTTTGCTGACGGGGTTGTGCACCTTTATGAACTCTGCAAAGTTTGCTCCATGTGAGCTACTGGTTTTATAAGATTACATTAAGGGGCAAGTATCTAGGATTTGAGACTTAAGCTGCAGCATTCAGCTGCTCCTCAGATTAAAAGCTTTGCCTTAGACCAAGCCAAGAACATGCCTCAACTATGACAGTCTCATCCTTGGAAATATGCTAGAAATAACAAAATTTGAACAGATAGGGGCTATTGCAAGTCTGAGAATATAATCACAAAATCAATGCTAAAATCAGAATCTCAATTTATTTTCTGGATGCATGGTTTGGGTGTGAGCATTCACTCAAATAAAGATCCTTAAATGAAATTACATGGGTTTGTGAAATTAAAGTCACTTTACCCTTAATAATAATTAATAATAATAATCCTATATAATAAAAGCTTAGTATGCAAATTGTCCCTTCCACCGGATTTCTTCTGGGAGTTAGACCAGGGACCTGGCCAGCTCGAGGAGGGGAGGGAGACCCCGGACCATAGCCAGCAGCTGCTAGGGACCCTACCAATGCACAAATTTTATGCACTGGGCCTCTAGTAACATTATAAACATCATCAGTAGCATCTAACATTTATTGAGTGCTTTCTCTGTGCCAAGTACTGCTTTGAGCATCTTCTATACTTAATGCCATCAATATTTCTTTGACTTAGACAACAATATTTGCTCCATTTCACAGATAAAAAAAACTAAGGCACAGAGAGGTTAAGTAATGGGCCCATAATTAAACATGAATGAAGTATATAAAGGACTCAAATCTGGCATCTGGTTCCATAATCTCTACTCTTACTCACCATATTGTATTCTAATATTTCCTAAGAAACCAGCATTGGTCCTAGCAACTAGGTCAAAGTTAGACTTGATGGGATTAGTTGCATGCTTCTTGCTGCACCTTCAGTAAAT